CATGATCTCACAGAGATCTGCCTACCTCTGCCTCCCTGGTACTGGGATTAAAGGCATGCACCACCACACCAGCAGTTCTTATGTTATATTGATCTTATATTCTATGACTTTGCTAAATTCATGTGACAGTTCTAGCAGTTTTTCATGTATTTCTTAAGGTTTTTTTTAGGAATGCAATCAAGTCATCTGTGCATGAAGGCAATTTTACTTCGTCCTTTTACAGAAAAAGGCTGTGTCAGGCTGAGAAGATGGCACTGTGAATAAAGCACTTATGTTTGGATCTCTAGAACCCATGTAAAAACCAGACATGATAGCATGCATCCACAAACACCTGTAAATCCCAGAATTCCTGTGGAGACAGGAGACTCCCCAGAAGCAGGCCAGCTAGCCTGTGTACACGGTGGCCAATAACCTGTTTCAAGCAAGGTGGAAGGCAAAGACCAACATCCGAGGTGGACCTCTGATCTCTACATGTATAACACAGAGGTTCCCCCTCCACACACCAAGAAAAAAGCTGAGTTTAGGCAAGATCTTTAACTACAGTGTTGGACAGAACTGGTAAAATGCTCATCCTTGCCTTGTTTGTTATGAGGAAATCATTCTGCCTTTCGAATTGCACTGGTGTCAGCTCTAAGACTTACAGATGTTCTTATGGGGTCAAGGAGGTTCTGTGCTAGTCCTGACTTCTGATAATTCTGTTGTTGATTGTTGTAGTTACTGAATTTTGACAGGTGGCATTTATTGGGGTGGTTGGGTTATGCTTTCTGAATTCACTCTATTAATATTATGAACTGCACTGTTAAGTTTTGAATGTTAAGTGAATCTAGCACTTCTAGGACATATACCATTTGGTCATGATAAATTCTTCAAGTGAATTGCTGGGTTTGATTTTGTTAGGGACTTCGTCTTTGTGCTCATGGGGAAAGTGAGCCTGCAGGCTACTTTCCTTAGAATGCCTTTGTTTCAGACACTAGAATAACATTCTTGTTTGTTTGTTTGCTTGTTTGAGACAAGGTCTTCCTGTAGCCCCAGATGGCCTGGAACTCTCTATGTAGACCAGGCTGGCCTCAAACTCACAATGATCTGCCTGCCTCTGCCTCCCAAGTCATGGAATTAAAGTGTGCCACCACACCCAGCTTATTTTTAATACATTTTTTTTGTTAAGTTTTCTTTATTGTGTGTTGAGGGAGTGGGGTAAATGTGGAGGTCAGAGAACAACTTGTAGGAGTTGGTTTTCTCCTTCTGCCATGTGGGTCCCAGAGATCGACTCAGGTTGTCAAGATTGGTGGCAGGCACCTTTACCTGTTGAATCTTCTCACTAGCCCCAATATTTAATTCTTCATATAAAAATAAACAAACATTAGGATGAAAATTTTCTGTGGCCTTTAATAAATGGTAAAAATGTATGTATAGCAAATAATTGTATATTATTTTTTTGAGACAGGGTCTTTCCGTAGCTCCAGCTGGCCTGGAATTCGTAGACCAGGCTGGACTCAATCTCATAGATATCCACTTGCTTTTACCTCCTGAGTGCTGGGATTAAAGGTGTGTACCACCAGGCTCAGCCCACAAAGAATTGTTTTAAAACAAATTAGCTTATTGTATCTATAAAAGCTTGATTTGTGTATCTATTTTATATACCTGCAATATCTGGGAAAAGTGTAAAATTTCTCCTGCGAAAAGGGGTCGTAAAAGGAAAGGTTTAAGCAGTAAGTCTAGGGTTTGCAATCTAACAAGAAAAACCACAATTAAAATAAACACAAAGTTCAAAACCAAAGATGTTAAAAATGAGAAAACCAATAAACACCTAAGAACAGACTTTACTGAGGACATACAAAATGCTAGATGCTACAGTTAGCCTGCAAGACTTGTACAAATGACAAAGCAAACTGTCTTATCAGTACCTTGAAAAATATGAAAAAGAGCTAAAATATTTTTTCACAGATGATTTTCTACCACATCAGAATCCTTGGGAACTTAGTCTTTTTAAATACATAAACTTCAGTACAGTTACTAATGTTAGATGAAAGCAAATTTTTGGTGTCAGGACATCAAGTATATATATCAAACTAAGAAAGTATCACTGAATTCTGAACATGCACCAAATTATTGCTATAATAGTCTAAATATGTATTAAAGAATACAAAGTTAGTTTAAAATATAAGTACTTTTTATTTTTTTGGTCTTTTTTTGAGACAGGGTCTCCCTGTAGTCCAGCTGTCCTGGAACTCCGTATTTAGACGAGGCTGGCCTTGAACTCACAGAGATCTGCCTCCCTCTGCCTCCAGAGTGCTGGGAAATAAGTATTTTCTTAATTTAATTTTATCTAAGGTATTTTTTCCCCCTCTTTTATATTTTTTGTTGCTGTTGTTTGTTTTTGAGACAAGGTCTTGTCTGTAACCAAGGCTAGCCAGGACCCTACTATGTAGCTTAGATTGGGCTTGGATTCATGATCCTCCTGCTTTAGTCTTTCAGGGCTAGGACAGGTCTGTGTTAAACTATCAAAGAATTTTAAGAACAACTTATCATCTTAAGGAAAAAAAGCAGCATTTTAAAAAGGAGTAAAAATTATTTGTAATACAAGATATTTAACCTTTAGTCCTAAAAATTGTGGCTCTCTTTTGTGACTAAACAAAATTCCACTTTTAATAGTTGACTTTAAAAAGATGAATGTTAGTTCCTTACCTAGTAATCTCGTCATCTCCAAGCATTGCTTTAGAAATGGGTGAGTATCTGGTTGGTGATGCTGGTGTCTGGCCCAAGTAGGAAGATGGGCTAACATTGTTATCAACAGGCTGAGAAGAAGCTTCAAAATAAGAAAGTGAAAAATAGATGAACATGGAAAGATGCCACTTAGCATCTCACATATGAACTTTAAAGAATAATCTTTTTCTTAATTTGTATATCAGAAATTGGTAGCGAAGATTTATTTACAAGCTAAGAATACCATATAAGCTCAATTTGTAGGTTAAAACTAGTTTTGACATTCAGAGCAATAAAGCAAATTTATTCCATTTGTATTCCTTCAAAAAATAGAACTAAAGAGTTTTACATGAACTGATTCACAAAATTAAATTCAGAAAGGTTAAAGATTGTCACAGAAAAGACTAAAATAAGTAAATCAGAAGTATAGCAATTTTTATTTTGTTTTATTTCTTTTTTTGGTCTTTTTGAGACAGGGTCTCCCTGTAGCCTGAGCTGTCCTGGAACTCACTATGTAGACCAGGCTGGCCTTGAACTCACAGAGATCTGCCTGCCTCTGCCTCCCAAGTGCTGGGACTACAGCCGTGTACCACCATGCCCGATGCAATTTTGCTTTTTTTAAAGAAGCTATTTGTGACTTTTTTTTTTTTTTTTTTTTAAAGTGCAGACATGCCGGGCGTGGTGGCATGCGCCTTTAATCCCAGCACATGGGAGGCAGAGGCAGGCGGTTCTCTGTGTGTTGAGGCCAGCCTGGTCTACATAGTGAGTTCCAGGCCAGCTGGGACTACAGGGAGACCCTGTCTCCAAAAGACCAAGGGGGAAAAAAAAAAAAAGTGCAGACTCATAAAACTGATTGTGAATAATGGGAATCAGAAGCATAAAAATAGGCGCAAGGCGCTGGAGAGATAGAGTAGCGGTTAAGAACACTGTTTTTGCAGAAGACCCGGGTTCGAAACCGAGCACCCACATGGCAGCTAACAATGGTCCGTAACTCCAGTTCCAGGGGAGCCAACAGTTTCTTCTGTCTTACGCGGGCATTGCATGACATCGGTGCACTTACCTACATGCAGGCAATACATGCATACACATAAAGTAAAAATAATAAAATCTATTAAAAAAATCGATGCAAAAACCCTCATGTTGCTAATCCCAGCCCAGACTATGATCCCATTTGTATATATTCTTTTTAATATGCCCATAAGAGTGGAAATTTGGTTAAAAGCAGAATATATCTGTTGGTTCATTTTTATAATACTAAGTATCATAAATAAGTAGGCATTCTAGCAAAAGCCAGGAAGACAAAAATCATAATGCATATGCAACTCTGACTATTCTTTCCAAAAACCTAGGTACAAAACACATGTCAGCTACAGCTTACACCATACTTGAATTATCTGAATCATTACCAAAGCACAACAGCAGGCTATATTTAACTCTGATGAAACCTTAACGATGCTAAAGTCATAAGACATTTCAAAATTAGGTATAATACTTATAATCTTTTATTACCAAACATTAGTTTTTGTTTTCATTACATTGCTGGGCATTTTCTACAGGCAAAGCATTGGGAAGTACAAAAATGCAGGGCGATCAGTTCCAGTAACTATAGTGGCCATACAAGTGTCAGAAAGTAAAGAAGTGATCTGAATGAAGACAACAGGAAGTGACTGAACTGTATGGTGCATGGGGAAAATGCATATTCTACTAAAAAGCAGGCAGCACCTATACATCACTATAACCATACAAAAAGGAAGAGTCTAGGTTGTCTATGGGCAATATAATCTTGGAGATTTGGGGTTTACTGGTACTACAGGTGTGCAGAACCTAACAGCTATACTTTTCTATGCGTTCATAAGATGTTCTTTTATATTTAAAAGACTTTCTACCAAAGGTTCTCACAAGTCTTTCCTGGATGATGTATGATGTTTATTGATTTTTGACCCTTAAATTTCTTTGCTGCATTATCATGTTAGTATGGAACAAAACCCCAAACTAACAACAGTAACAATAACCACAAAATACAACTGGACAAAAATTCCATTAAATGACCAAATTAAATAATAGAACCTTTGGGGCTGGAGAGATGGCTCAGCAGTTAAGAACACTGACTGTTCTTGCATAAGACCCAGGTTCATAACCCAGCACCCACATGGCTGCTAACAACTGTCCATAACTCCAGTTCCAGGGACTTTGACAGTCTCTTCTGTCCTCCTCAGGCATTGCACAACATAGGTGCACTTACCTACAACACACATACAGATTAAAAAAAAAAAAAAAGTACAACTTTCCCCCACTATATCTAAACTGATCTTTTATCAACAGGTCTTTCTTGAGCAGTGAATCTTACATGAAAGACACTCTCTCAGAGAGTAAAGACTAAAAATTTATGTTCCCACCAAAAATAGCTCAAAAATCATATAAAATAGTGCTGCTTGTTTACAGTTGAAATCTTCTGTAGACTGGTCCACAGAGAATGATGAAACAAGGGAATCCAATTCATTATCCTGATATATCAAAATTAATAACCCCAGACCTCTAAGGTTTTGGTCAAAAACAGGTAGAATAACTTGAGGTGAAAGTGAGAAGAGACTGGGGGCCAAATCTTAAAGTTTACCAAGGTCTCCAGCAGAAGAGAGTATAAATTAAAAGTATGATGCAGAAGTATGATTTTTTTTTTTTTTTTGGTCTTTTTGAGACAGGGGCTCCCTGTAGCCCCAGCTATCCTGGAACTCACTATGTAGACCAGGCTGGCCTTGAACTCACAGAGATCTGCCTGCCTCTGCCTCCCAAGTGCTGGGATTAAAGGTGTGCGCTACCATGCCTGGAGAAAGACTCAATTTTTAATTCTTCCAAAACTAACCTGTATTTTTTGGGGGAAGGGGTTGTTGAGACAGAGTTTTACTCTGTAGCCCTGGCTGCCCTTGAATGTGCCTCAACCTCCTGAGTGCTGGGATTACAGATATGAAATAGCAAACCTGGTTCCAATCTATGTGCGTGTATGTGTGCATGTGGTGCATGCATGTATTTAAACATGTTTGTGTGGGTGTGCTTGTGTGTGCCTGGGGAGGCCAGGGGTTAATGTTGGATGTCCTGCTGCATTGCTCTTTACCTTATTTTTGAGCTCACTGAACCTGGAGCTGGCTGTTAGGCTAGACTGGCTGGCCAGTGAGTCCCTGAGGATCTTGTCTCTGCTTCCCTAGCACTGGGGTTACAGACCTGTGCTGCTGTACTCAGCTTTATGTGGGTGCTGCAGAACCAAACTTAAGTCTTCATATTTTCACAGCAGTACTTTCCCACTGAGCCATCTTGAATCAGGATATCCATGCAGCCCCAGTTGGCATGGAACTTACAATGCAGACTAGGTTGGCCGGGATCTCACAGAGATCCACTGGCTTTTGTCTCCTGAGGGCTGGAACTACAGGTGTGTCACCACCCCTGGCTTTCCAACATTTACTTTTATTCTAAAAATAACTAAGGAACTTCAAAGAGGACCACTATAATCTTAAAAAATAACAAAGTTGGGGGCTGGAGAGATGGCTCAGAAGTTAAGAGCTCTAAGTGCTCTTGCAGAGGACCTGGGTTCGATTCCCAGCACCCACACGGCGGCTACAAACCGTCTTTAACTCCAGTTCCAGGGGAATCTGAAACCCTCTTCTGACCTCCTCGGCATCGCACGATACGGGTGCACTCGCGTACATACAGGCAATACACTCATATACATAAAATGAAAATAATAAAAAAATAACAAAGTTGAAAGATGTATATGAAAGGAAATCAACATATTATAAAGTTATGGTAATATAGAGAATGTGCTGTCAGCAAGAGGACAGACAGAGATTAATGAAACAGAAATCTAGAATTAGAATTATATAGTCACTTAATATTTAATATAATCACAGATGCACTGGTAAGAATCTCAGTTTAAAAAATGGTGCTGGATAACTGGGATATCTATTTGAAAGAAGTATAACGTATGCAAATATCAGATCTAAATGTTAGATATAGAACAGCAAGACTTCTGATTTTCCTCATATAACTGTGGGATAGGAAAAGACTGCAATGTGTTCTGAAACTATGAATCATGAGAAGATAAATTAATTTGATTAAAATAATGAAATTTTACTCAATAAAAAGTAGTAATAGAGGAAAAGCAGAAAACACAAACTAGGTGAAGACAGTTGCAATTTCTTGAGTTCCTAAGATCTCCTTCAAATCAGTAAGAAAGAGGCAGTACCACCTGAAGTAGGTAGGGGTGGAGAGATGGCTCAGAAGTACTTGCCATACAAACACAAGGACTTGAGTTTGGATTTCTAGTACACATGTTAAAAAAAACTGGGTGGGTGTTATGGATCTGTAACAACAGACTGGGGGTCAGGGAGAGACAGGTGGATCTTCGGAGCTCAATAGCCAGTCAGGCTAGCTGAATCAATGAATTCCAGATTCAGTGAAAGACCCTGTCTCAAAAGATAGCGTGGGGAGTGACACTTGACATTGATTTCTGACCTTCACATGCACATCTGCACATACATGTGTACAATATACACGCAAAGGGAAGAATTTAACAGACATTGCATAAAAGATGACAGCCAAAGCAATAATCATGTGAAACATTTCTGAACATCATTCATCACCCAGAAAATACTCTGGTTTCTCTTCAGATCATATAAATTTCTTGCTTTTTCTAATCACCAGGAAATTAGTGAAGATCAAAATTAAATAATCAGTGATCAAAAATGATCAAAAATCGCCAGGCATGGTGGCACATGCCTTTAATCCCAGCACTTGGGAGGCAGAGGCAGGGGGATCTTTGTGAATTCAAGGCCAGCCTGGTCTACATAGTGAGTTCCAGGACAGCTGGGGCTACAGGGAGACCCTGTCAAGACAAAAACAAAACAAAACACAAAAATCAATAATATATCATACCTCAATTCATATCCATTAACATCTATAACTAGGAAGACTAATGAAACCAAGAATTGATGGAGATGCAGTTATCAGATTACAAATTATTTTTAATACTCTGTTAACTGTTTAGTATTATCAACCAAAGACCAAACACACACACCCACACACCCACACACCCTGCTCTATAATGCAGCAATGTCTCTCTAAAAGAAATGGGACATATATGTTGAAGAAAAACATATCTAAGCTAGGCATGGTGATACACATATGTAATCCAGCGTCAAGGAAGTAAAAGGAGGAGGATCATGAGTTTGAGGCCGGCTTGGTCTACATAACAAGATCGTTTCTAAAATGACAGTGACGATAAAAACCAAAACAAAAATTGTTTAAAAACACATCCACAGCAGCTATATTTCTTATAAATCAAAACTGGAAGTGATGCAGCAGTAAAATGGAAAATCTCCACAATGGTCATTAACAATAGAAGATGACACAAGACAAAAATAGCAAGTCACTAAACTGATATAATCACATAGATCTCACATACCTTAAAACAAGCAGAAGAATTAAGTTGCAAAAGAATACAAACCGAGAAATTTAAGAACCAGTAGATGTAAAATACCTACATATAATACAGTAACAAATACACATTGATAGACAAACAACTCTTTAAGAACATGCAGTTTTGAGGGCTGAAGAGACAGCTCAGTAGTTAAGAGCACTGGCTGCTCTTGCAGAGGACCCAGGTTTGTGTCTCAGCACCCACATGGTGGTAACAACCGTTTGTAACTCTAGTTCCAGGGGATCAAACACCCTCTTCAGGAATAGCACAACACAGTGCACTTACACACACGGAGAAAATACACTGCATGTATAAATAAATAAAATATTTAAAAATACATTGCATGTATAATAAATAAAATATTTTAAAAAAGAACAGGCAGTTTTAATGCTGTTTTTTTTTTTTTTGACTCTTGACCATAAATCTCAGATGGAGCCTCAGTCTGGCCTGCTACTTTTTCCTATTTACTCTTTTACTCTGAGAATTCTTTCTTCTTCTCAAACCCCCTTTGACATTCACCCCACCGACCCAGGCCCCCAGACAATCTCCCTGAAGAGAATTTCCTGACATCTTTTGGTTTTTGGAGTCCCAGCTATGTTGGGCTTTCAGAGAACCGGAGTGAAGAATGCAGAATTTGGCTGACTCACTGGTGGGAAGAAGGCCAAAGGACTAGAAGTGCAATGCAATGAGTTTCTCTGACAAACACGCAGCCTGAGCCATATAGAGAATTAGGAAAACAGAGACGCTGGGAAAGATGATAAAACCAAATAAATGAAGGCCAAAGTGAAGCAGAACTGCCAGAATAGTGGTGAATGAAATGTCTGTGATAGGATTATTTAAAATTGGTATGTTAAAGACAAAGAAGGTATTGATAACTGTAGAAAAGACCTAAAGTATTAGAAACAGGAACCTAAGCAGATGGGCAGAAGATAAAGAGATCAAGACACCAAAAGCCAAGGTTTTACATGAACCATTAGCATAGCTTTTGAGTATCACTCAGAATGGCAATGTAAGTAAAAGTAGCAAGAAAGATAATTTAGTATTCAGGGACTAAAGTTAGATCCATGAGGAAGACACAGATGATTAAAATATAAGGAAACTGAATTCAAGGTCTGACAAGGACTTAGGAAGACAAGAGACAAAAACCACTTATGTAAAAAAATTTAAAATGCTTTTTGAAACCCACAGAATAAATTATTTATGCTCTGCATGTATAGAATAAATGTAGTTTTTAAAGTACATCCAAAATTCATGAATGTAGATGCTTGAGATAGGGAATGGTAGTAAAATTATAAGGTTGAGCTAGCAAGGTGAGCGCCAACTCTCTCACGATGTTCTATTAATTCAATGACAGATGGGAAACAAGAACAAAACCAGAGTTAACAAAAACAGAGCAAACAACCAATTATCATTTACTATTCTTTAGAACTAACTGTTCCATTTTAAAAAGGCCATATACTGGGGCTGGAGAGATGGCTCAGCAGTTAAGAACACTGACTGTTCTTGCACAAAACCTGCACCCCACCACCCACACGACAGTTAACAACTGTCCGTAATTCCAGTTCCAGGGAATCTGACAGTCTTTTCTTGTTCTCCACAGGCACTGCATTACACGGGTGCACTTACCTACATGCAGGCAATACATGCACACACATAAAAAATAATAAAAAAATTAAATAAAAAGGGCATATTATGGGGGCTAGAGAGATGGCTCAGTAGTTAAGAGCACTGGCTGTTCTTACAGAGGACCTGGTTCAGTTCCCAACACCCACATGGCAGCTAACAACCATCCTTAACTCCAGTTCTGGGAGATCCAATGCCCTCTTCTGACCTCTGCAGGAACTGCATAACATGGGTGCACTTACATGCATGCAGGCAATACAATCATACACGTAAAGTAATAAAAATATTTTTAAAAAGAATGCTGTATTATTAGACATAAAAGGGATAATTCATCTAAACATTTTTCTGTTTGACATGAAATTTCCAAGAAACAACCTGGCTATTTCTAATATGTTGGACCAAAATTAGGGCATGAACTCTCAATTTGTAGAAAAACTGTTCCAAATGTGCATTATGGCTGTCCTAAAGAAGCAGTGTTCACAATAAGACATATATTTGAATTGATCAGATTATTGAAAATTTTAAACTATAAATAAATATATACAAAATTTTTATATGAAGCTTATGTACCAGACCAAGATATGCAACAATTTCAAGGGAGTAGCAAGGTTGTTTTCTTTGTTGAAAAGAAGTGAAAAACCATTAGAAAGGCTGGGCGCTATTATGAAAATAATTCAGTTATACTTGAGTAACAAATCAATGAGCAGATAATAAAGATGTTTTACTGGAGGCCAGCACATAAATTTCAAAATCTTATATGTATTTAACTTATGATTACTGATGG